ACTGTTTCTGAACTAGTAGTTAGTTTTCTTTTGTCCGTGTGCAGGGTATTCTCCCTCAAGCTATGTGGTAGCAAACTGCCCGGCACGTGTGTCTTTCCCTGCTTGCCTTTGCTTTCTATGCAAACACATTACCAAAAGCTTCGATGATTTCACCACTCATCTCAAGAGTGGATCTCACAGGAATAATGAGGCAAGTATCCTTGCCTCCTACTCTCAGATTTACCTCTGTAATTGTCATTTTTACTAAAATTATATCGAAGTTTGACCCCATGTGGATGTTCATTTGGTTTGCTGTTGTTGGACCAGGTGCCCTCATATGAGGACTTCAACCATTCCTATTATTCGGGACTCTGCGGTAGTTTGTCAATTACTCCGATTGCTTATTTGATATTTTTCTTTTCCATACTGCGATGTAATATGTTTTCTGATTGTTGCGATTTGTTACGTGATTGATTTTCGTTAGATAGTGCCATATATCCGACCACAGGGGTGTGGTGGGACCTTAGCACCTGTCCGGTTCCCGCTGGTTTTGACGTTGGTCTTGTCCGTCCGAGTATAGAGTTGGCCTTGACAAAATACTTAGGTCCTCGTCCAGTCATCATCTTTGCCGTTGGCAACCTAGACAACATCCCTGTTGACCTCTTGGAGAAGATCTCTTCCTCTGGAATCCTTCTTAGACACGCCCTGATCGGTTAGTCTTCTTTTGGATGATTTTAGTGACACATCTCTAAGATTTTAGACCCATCTGGCCTTTTTTTCAGGTGGGATCGAGATCTGTGAGCTTATTGACCGAGAATGGTGTATGCTTCTTCCACGTTCGGCTCCAATAATGCTCATATCTGGTGATCTTCGTTGGTTTATTTCCTGTTTTACCGAAGTGGGAGATTTTATTCTTCGTGCATATGATGGTCCCCAGCCAGAATTCCCTCACTGCCCGGCTCTTAAAGTCTGGGGCTGGGAATTCTTACTGAAAGGTGTTTTGTTTTGTTTTCTCATCTCTCTCACTTTGAAATAACCAACTGTTTTCTGAACTAGTAGTTAGTTTTCTTTTGTCCGCGTGCAGAGTATTCTCACTCAGGCGATGTGATAACAAACTGCCCGGCACCTGAGCGTTTTCCTGCTGGGCTTTGCTTTCTATGCCAACACCCTACCGAAAGCTTTGATGATTTGAGCAAGCATCTCAAGAGTGACTATCACAGGAATGAGGCAAGTATCCTTGCCTCCTGCACTCAGCTTTACCTCTGTAATTGTCTAACGATTACTACAATTATATCTAAATTTGACCCCATGTGGATGTTCATTTGGTTTGCTGTCAAGCAGGTGTTGGACTTCGTACCCTGCAAGCTCGATAAACCTATCCATTTTTGCACAGTTTGCAAATATCCTACCTACGACAGTTCCACCTTGGACATGCATTTCAGAAGTGAAGTACATGCACAGAAAGCAGCATTAGTAACCATCCTTGCCTCCTAGTCTCACAACTTGACCCATTGGGTCTTGTTTTTTAAATTGGTTTGTTTTGGTTTGTTCTACTACTATGCGTGGCCCATGGGGTGTTGTTTCTTTTTTTTTTTTAATTTTAAGTTAATGGTATGTTCTACTAGTAAGATAATACTCTGTTCTTTCTTTAATTTTCATTTAGCTAAGTAGGACTTTTATTAACGTCTACGAAAAATCTGACCAAATTACCATGAGTTTTAAATTTCTAGTTATAATTATTTTTAACAAATCAATATCGTATTTGATTACATTTAAGAAAATATTAAAAATCGTATTTTTGAAACAATAAAATATAGGGTAGTTTGGTTTAATATTCTGAAAATTTTATAAAATTTGGGAAGTAAACCATATGTTTGAAATTTTTGTAAAATAACTTTTCTAATAATAAAAAGACACTAATATCCTCATCTGAGATTTATAATTAATAAAACATACATTTATTAAAAAAGATTGCCTACATTGTTTGATTTATCAATGAATTGGATACTTTGATTACTAATCACTCTGAGGTTCTCTTTGCTCCTTGTTTGCTTGCATATGTCTTTAGTTGAGTGTTTAGTTTAGTTTAATGATCGAATCCAGTTCATTGAGTAAAAAGATTCATCTTCCTATGAAGATGTCGTGTTCTTCTTGTCTTTATGTTTTACAAACCCATAACATTTCTTCTGTATTATGAATAATTGGTGGTTAGATGATGATTGAACAAGTTTGCCTACATTGTTTGATTACCAATGAAATGGATACCTTGATTTATAATCACTCTGAGGCTCTCTTTACTCCTTTTTGATTGTCTTTAGTTTAGAGTTTATCATAATTAGGGAGAGAAATTTCTTTCTTAATTAAGGCCTATGATGATTCAAATTTTGCCTACATTGTTTGAGAAACCAGTGATATCAACAACTTTAACATAATTTATTCTGAGTCTTTAATAGTTTTTCTTCTTCTTGGACTATAATCTTTCCTTTTTTTTTTACTATGAGTTTAATATATCTGCCTACATTGCCTGATCAAAGCTTTGAGAAAGTGAGTGAACGATACTTTTCTGAAGCCTCCATCTCTTTTTCACTATCATTGCTATTATAATTTTAAAAATATAAAAAAAAAACTTTTTAAGAGTTCTTACGGAGGGGGAAAAATTACAAACTTCTAAGGAGGTTTTTACCTTGTGATGATGCAAAATTAATAATAAAAATATTGTTCAAAACTTTTAATAGGATTATACCAATGGAGATGCTCTTAGTAACTCATGCAAGGTAGCATAAGTACGACATCATTTTTGCTGCATGATGAACTTTTATTTCATCACTCAATAGTCAATACTAATACAAACCTCATTTGATTTTAAATTTCTGGTTTTTTTTCCTATTAATGTCTAGAGTTTTCTTGTTCTCTTGTTGTATTAACAGTGGATTAGAAAATAGAAGATCAATCATTCATATAAGGTTTGTATCAAAATAACAAATAACAA